GTCAATAAGGTGGGTTCTCGAGGGTTTCTTCTTTTTAAGCCTAATTTTCATTCATAAGATTTTGCACGTCGCAGCTAGTGATCACATGATGCACTTGTGCGGGGAAGAAACACCACGAGTTGCCGTGCACGCTCTCACTTACCAACCGTTGGACTTAAAGGCATGCACCTGGTCCACATTGGTGTGGCTCTCGCACACGAGAGAGCGCCAGACAACAGCCTGATAAGAGAAAAAAAATCTGCAGCTTCAGCAGCTTACTTTGCAAGGCCCAAGCGCTCTTGTCGGTTGGTTTCCGTGCACGGGAACGCCACATTTGTGATTGTCCTCTAGGGGTCTATACTACAGACCGAAGGGAAGCGTTCACACGACCTCTGCCTGGGTTGCGCCTTAAAAAATGAGCCGTGCAGTATTTCATGGCATTACACTGATGCATATGCTGTCCCCGGTCCTAAAAGCACAACCCAGGCAGAAGTCGTGTGAACGATTCCTTTCGGTCTGTAGGATAGACCCCTAGAGGACAATCACAGATGTGGCATTCCCGTGCACGGAAATCACCGACAAGAGCGCTAGGGCCTTGCAAAGTAAGCTGCTGCAGCTGCAAATTTTTTCTTTCATCTGTCTGGCGTCTCTCATCTGTGCTCTCTCGCCTCATACTCTCCTCTCCGCGCTTAGTCTCTCATTCCCTTAGCACAGCCGATTAGGAAGGTGAGTAAGCCCTAACCTAAGCTTTTCGACGGATCTTTTTCCGTTTTCTTAACTGCTCACTTCGCACCAATTCATCGTGTTCGGTGCCACACCAATTTGATAATGGGACATGCCCTAAAGGCTTCCAAATTCCCATGGAACTCAGGATGGAGACCCAGGAAAGTTGATAGGGTTAAGAATACTAACAAATATGGAGACAAAACTGCTACTTGGGCTTTTCAAGCAAGCTGTGATCCGTCAAAGTTGGCAAGCAATGCAGCATCAAAGGGTTGTGGAGCCAAAGTGGGGCTGAATGGCCCCTTTCTTCGAAAAAGAGTCTCCTATTCGTAGTCAGACCGTCCATTTGCCACTAACCATAAGGCAAAATTTCAAATTTGAAAATGCTGATACGAATAGACTAGCTCGCCCTATCACTAGTGCTGCAATTCTATCAGCTTTAAACGCTCACAATTTACCTGGAATTTCCACGTAGCAGTTTTGTTCTCCATATGTGAGCACAGTTCTTGACCCTGCCAATTTACCTGTCTTCATTCAAAGTTTCATGGGGAATGTAAAGTCTCCCTGGCAGTATTCGTCTACTCGGTGCAGTTGTCTAGGTAATGCAAATGAGGAGTGTGACTCATATTATGTGTCAGCAGCGCACCTTGAATCTGTATTAATGGTCTTAATCTTCGCAGAAACCGATGTCTCAAACAGAACAAAACCTGCATCTAATGCGCTTAGGAATGTACACTCCACTATAGATATTCTTCTCGTTGGCTTCTACCAAAGGCAGAAACGACGCGGGAGGTAGAAAACAGCATTTCACTTGATCAAGTGTTTTTTCCCTAACTTGGTCTCGAGAAGAAAGCTTAGAGTATGTAGACTCGGAATGTGCCGACTATAGCCGAACTGGAGAGCAGAAACGAGAGCTGCTTCAGAAAAAACAAAATGGCATGTTTGACGTTCAGTTTGTCCTAGAAATACGCAATAAATTGGATTGCTACAGCAATCAATATCAACCTTTCTGCGTTTTCAGACACCCAGGAGACGATGGTTGTCCATGGCCCAAAAAAATTACAACGAAGTAAGGTAGCCAAAGGATAGGAGCCGTTATGACTAGCAAAGGGCGCTGAGTTCCACGAAAAGGTTTCGATTTAGATCACTTGAAGCCACGGGTCCTTCGTGGGGATCAGACGTGGGCGAAGAGCTAGTTCTCCCCATCATCAGTTGAAAAAGAGGAGTCTCCAGACACACGAGTGTCGAACGACAAGAACGCACCATCACAGGTGCGTAGCCGTGCCTTATCGCCTACCGAGCTGCCGTTACTTATCATCGCAGCACTCGTGATCGCGCTCTTAGCTGCTCGCCTCTGTAGAATTGTGTGTCTCTCATTCATATGACCGGCCGAAGGCACCAATGGGTAATTATCAAGGTTGGTCGTCGCATAGCTCTTTATGTTGTGTCTTTATATATGGCTTCGTCCATAGCCGTTGCTCATTCCCCTTCCTTTCGGAGGCGTCGCGGGTCGACCCAGGTCCATTTTTGAATAAAATTACACAACAATTTGATCCCGACCCGTGCCCTTGACATTTATTGAACTGTAGACGTTGTCAAGTATTTGGACAAATTTCTCTCGATCCGTAAGAGACCATGTACTCCTATTGATTTACCACCTAATAACTCAACCATTTGCTTGAAATTTCTCATAAAACTGAATGACGTGGTAAAGACCACCTTCCCGTCAATAACTTGCTGAAGTTATATGAAAACCAGTATCTCTCCCTGCTCAGTTCTACATTTCACAGTCGCCTTTCCTAGAATCCCAGTCTAACTTGCAATTCGCTCCCTTTGTTAGTTAGAGTTAATTGGTTTAGGATGTGACTGGAGTAATAGGAAGAATTTGAGAGGCTCTCGTCCTCGCCATCTATTCTAAGAGTTCATGGACAGAGATTGCTAGGTTCTGGAGGGGATTGCAGGGAACGTGGTGGTGCTCCGCGGTACGCTAGTGGTGAAAACGCTGAAGAATTCGTCAAGAAAACGCAAAGGGAGCCGTTAAAGGATGTTAGTTTTCGCTCACGGACGAGCAGCAGCTAAGACGGCGGACATGTGGGCGAGTTTATCGCGCAGCGTTTGGGGACGATATGTCAATCCAATAGTTCAGTCAAGTTGCTCCAGTTGAGCAACTGCTTGTAACACTGCTTGTTTTGCCTCGGAGCGCTTTTAAAGTACTGCTCAGCAACCAGGGCACCTTCGTCGTGAAAGCGCCACAGCTCGCTTCTTGGCAGCCAAGTAACTGCTTCAGTGGCACATATGCTTCCCCGATGCCCTCCCTATTTGTTCTAATCACATTCTTTGAGCGGTCATTTTAGCCGTGAGGTTGATCCAGGTCATATTATTCGAAAAGTCAAAGAGCTGAAAAACTATCCGCTTTATGAAAATGGTGCTTTCGATTTCGCGAAGCTTAAAGGTAAACAATAGAATGCAATGAAAATGATTTTATTCCAGGACTTTTTCACAAGCACAATACTTTGAAATAAAATGTGCGTGTGTTACTGGATCACGGGGATAAAGCGTGTTAGTTGCAATGCGGAAACGCAACAAAGTGAAGCTTCAGGCTATAGGACGAGAATCTTGGCGCAAGACGCAAAGCAAGACAACAATTTCAAACTCAGCAGTGCTACATCCGTTGAACTATAGTTGTTGACTATGTACACGAAGTGATGAGTTCAAGACGAATTCAATCATTAAAACTCGGCACATCAATACACTCGTATGTGAAAACATTGCGGAGGACGCTGATAAACCATAATTATCCATTGTTGTCCTAAAGAATGAACATTGCCTTTCCAACAGAACTTGGTACAAACTGAAAATATCCACCGATAGCGCGACTCTATCCAAACTGGAATTAAAGAATCAACCAAATGGGAATGCGCTGAAATCACTACCACTGAATCATAATCACACGCGCTACTGATATATTGAGAAGCAGCTCCATGCACAAACACAGCTAACTAAATAACTAGGTACGTATCGTTAGGTCACAACGCGGCAACGCTCTGCTGGCGTCCGTACGCCAAAAAGTTGCGTCCTTCGCCCAATTCAAGGCGTTCACTCGAAGTAGGAACCGATGTAGACGCAGACGCGGCGAGATAGCCCGCGCAGGGACGAAGAAGCAGAGCAGAGTCAAGAGTTAACGCGGCGGGCTGCAGGTCGGAGAGTTAACGACCTAACAGTAAACAACAGATAACCATCTGATGTTTTTCGTGAAAACCGTCGGGTTTTGCACGACAACTGTTTCAGGAAGGATTCTATTCAATGCAATGTTGTCCCCTCAGGCTTGCTCACGGAAACGTAT